CCTCACTTGCCAGTCCTCAATCCTGGTGTCTGACGGGCACTCACAATGTGTCTGCTGCCTTGGGGAGCGAGACATACCATAGAAGTGCTCACGCTGGCACAATCTCAAGGCTCGTGCCAGGAAAGCTAGGGATCTACAGCAAAAATTCCTCATGATGGAGAAGTCTCTGCGTCTAGCGTCTGAAATCACAGACACCTCCTGGGCACCAATGGCGGCATCTGACAGAGGTTCCCCACCACCCTCTCAGAGGAACACTCTGCCAAAAAGATGACAAATAAGTGGTCTCCGACCTCCTGTCCTCAGGAATCTGCCAAAAAAAGACATTCCCGAACTCGTCAGACCCCATCGGTACTGACCGCACCAACACCATTCATCTCTGAGGTAGCTGGACCATCCAGTACAATGGGTACCATGCAAGGCAAAGACCCTAAGCAGGCTGGCTGGGAAAAAGGCACTAAAGGGAAACTATCATCCCTGCCTTGGTACTGCTGGAGCTGCTCAAACATGCAGCACTGAGCAGCTTGGCAGTGCTACAGTCTGTGGTGCCACCTTCTGCCTCTACAGCACATGGTGCATGACCCTCGTCACCGACAACTGCAGTAAAGGCATCGGTATGGCTGACAACACCCTCCTTGGTACTGATGCTCTTGGTACCGCAGCGATTTCTTCTCCGTTACGATATTCTAGTCTCCTTGGCACGGGAATCTCCACTCCTTGGTTCCGACCTTACTCCACCACGCTCGGTATTGTGCCATCTTACCACACCACCCAGATCAGCTCCTCCTTCATCTAGCAATGAGGATGATGATATGATGATGAAGGGGAAATCTACTCGTCCCATCACTCCTCACCTATCCTCACCGCTACAAGACCAGATCCACCAGAGCACCATAAATACCAGACCTGAAACTCAAGGATGGTACAGACACCCATGGATGCTGCCACGTATGGCATTTCCACCACAGTGGCCTTACTGGGACCCATGAGCAGCATACTACCCTAAGCCTCCCAGTCCACTCAGGGAGAGGTCAAGGCATTTTTCATCACCCTCTGTACCTGGGCCCTCTGGACCTCTGGAAAAGGCAGTCGAGGAACTGGAGGAGACCAGATTAGGAAGTCATGCCGCCAGATGCCAATTTTACATCCTCCTCTCCGGATGAAGCTATCATGCCCCCACCACCCATGACAGGGATTGACTTTAAACAGTTCCAGGAAAACTTTGAGGATTGCAGATTCCCTGGAGATACTGTTGGAAGAAGTTGCGGAGGCCCAACATAAGTTGTTGGACATCGTCCAGACTTCAACCTCCTCCAAGATTGCACTCCCAATAAACGAGGCTCTTGTGGACCCAGCCAAGACCATCTGGCAGATCCCAGCAACAATTCTGCCCGCCTGCAAAAGAGCAGTTAAAAAATACTATGTCCCTTCCAAGGGAATGGAATTTCTATTTTTACACCCCCATCAAACTCTCTGATGGTAGAGGGCGTGACCAAGTGGGGCAGACAACACCATTCCAGATCCAGCCCATATGACAGGGACTGGAAAAGGTTGGACTTTTTTGGATGTAAAGCTTACTCTTAAGCAGCCCTACAGTTTAGGGTCGCAAACTATGAAGCACTAATGGCCAAATACAGTAACTCAGATTACTCAATGTCTGTCTTTATTGAACACATACCTGAGGACAAAAAGGAACAATTTAAAGCATTTATATCCGTGGATCAACTCCTAGTTCGCACAACTTTACAAACTTCATTGGACTCTGCAGACATGGTGGCACATTCCAGTGCCATCCTCATAGTAATGCAACAAGCTTCCTGGCTCCACTTCTCTGGTTTTCCGAAAGAGGTACAACCAACTGTGTCCTGTTGGAAGGCCCCAAGCTGTTTGCAGCCAAAACACGAGTCCCTTCACACTTCGAAGGACTCTTGAGCAACACTCAAATCTTTGGAGACACACACACACACAAAATCGGGCAAGTATTACTTGATGCAAAGATCTAGATCTGCGACCTACACACCCCCTCAGAGGCAATGTGACCCGCAGAGGCAGAGACCTGCAAGACGGAGACCACTCACTTCCCAGCCCTCGACATCCCAATAACTTACCTCTAAACAACAATATTGAGGGTTTGGTCAAGGACCAGAGACACCTGCCACTTTTTCTATTGCTGGACCCATCCAACACAATCCATCCATTCATTTCTCCACCTCTCGATTGAAGGTGGCCTTTCTCATCACTATCACATCCGCCCGATGAGTAGAAGAACAGGGCCCTCATGCCACACCCCCTACACAATATTTTTCAAAAACAAAGTTACCCTAAGACCAGATCCGAATTCTTAGTTAAAGTAGTTTCCTCATTCCATTTGAATCAACCCATCCATCTCCCTATCGTTCTTCCCAAAACCTCACGGGAATAAACAAGAAGCAATGCTTCACATCCTGGACATCCGAAGAGCGCTAGCATTTTACATTGAGAGGCCAAAGTCTTTCAAAAAGTCACTAAAGTTATTTCTTTCCATCACAGAATGATCTAAGGGGGATGCCATATCCAAACAGAGGCTGTCTAAATGGATCTCCAGATGCTTTTACCTTTGCTATCGCCATCAACAGCTACAGCCCCCACCAGGGACCCGAGCGCACTCTGTCTTGATAGCCTTCCTCAACAATGTACCAATTATGAACATTTTCAAAGCAGCAATCTGGGCATCAGTCCATATGTTCACACAGCATTATGCCATAGAGCAGCACTTGTTGTCAGATTCTTTACTGGTAATTGTGGTTTTATCATCTGCCACGACTGCAACTCTGAAGCCACTTTCTTCCATAGAGGGGCACTGCTCTACAGTCACCTAAAGTGGAGCACCCACAGGGACACTCCTTGAAGAAGAGAAGGTTACTCACCTTGTGCAGTAACTGAGGTTCTTTGAGAGAGTTGTCCGTGTGGGTGCTCCACTACCTTCCTTCTTCCCCTCTACTTCAGAATTTTTTTGCACCATAGACTGTAATAGAGAGGAAACCGAGGGAGAGTTGATTGCACAGCGCTATGTAACCATGTGAGATGGCACAAGATGGAGGACAGTGCATGTGTGACCCAACCAGGCACTGTTGTTAAAAATCTCTGATTACAAGTGCAGGGGTGCAAATTCACCTAAAGTGAAGCACCCATGGGGACAACCATCTCGAAGAACCTCAGTTACTGCACAGGGTGAGACACCTTCTGCCCCCTCCCCTCCCCAAGTCTTATAACATGGTCAAATTTGGGGATGTTTTCACAGGGATGATAAAAGGCACATCCCTGACTCAAAGGTTCATCCCCTGCCAAATTTCAAGTCCCTGCTCCAAAGCTTGGGAACACGAGTTTTTCAAAGAAAAGATTGCCAGCATTTTTTTAAAATGGGCAATACATCATTCCCAACCCTCCTTTTTTTGACATTGCTGAAGCATTTTGGCTGAAATTTTTTATTTTTATAAATTGAGGCAGACACCTAGCATGGAAAACTTCATTCCAAATACTTATAACGTTGCCAGACTTTAACTAACTTTAAAACAGTATCTTATAGTGGAAACTACATTGAGATCATTCTTCTGCTGTTGCACAAATACTAAGGAAGACCATTATGCAAAGTGTGGATAATTATTTTCAAAAGCAGATGAGTGAAACTTCTTAATGCTCTGTTTACTTTTATTTCCCTCGTACTATGTGAGTAGCGTAGATTCCACCTGATGGATGGTAGGATGCATGTATTTTGATAAAAATATGTATCAGAGTGATCTCTCTTCTTGGCTGTAGTATTGACATGCTGCATTCTGATTGGCTTAGAGCATTTTTAGTTTCTAGCATATGTAATGAATCTGTCAGAAATAAGCTCATCTATCAAAGCAGAAAATGTTTAACTACACTGCATGCTGATGGATAAACTTGGCTTCTGACAGGGTGAAGGGTTTTTTGCAATATGTTGGTGAATGGTCTGTCAGCCATTCAGCAATCTGAGTGGCTACCAGGAATTCCACTGTAATTACATTTCAGTAGGATATTTTTAAATCATCACAGGGATCTGTGCATAGAACCTTTCTGAGGTATACTACGCTAATGGACTTCTCTAGTTGGACAAAATGAATTTGGCTGGACTTACATAAAGATAAAAGGTTCTCTTCCTTCATAAATGTCTAAGCCTGAGCTGTAAGATGTACTGCTTTATTTATGCTTTTCCTAACTTCTGGTGGCCTTAAGTGTTCAGGGTTCTGCTAAGGGTTTTCTGTCATGGGGTTGTGACTTGGGAATGTGGCACCTTATGCTTGGGCTGTGTTCTTTATTGTTCTAGTCTTTCCTTCAAAGTAGCAATATCATTAAATCCACTTTTAACATACATGCATCATAATCCAAATTACCATCCCTTGCTGTGCTATCAGAGCGGTTCATTGACATGGTGTTCCCCATCCTCACTCCTCTCTTAACAATGCAGGGTAATCTAGGTGTAGAGTATAGCAGAGGCTGGGAGATGAGATTTGCATTTGGAGCTGACCTGGAAGGGCCTATTCTTGTAAACCTCACCCTTACCGGACTAATCATGGCTCCTGCAAGTACAACCTCTGAAGCTTATCTTGTCATTTCAGTATGCGAAGTGCAAGAGTTGTTTCTCTGAAAGCTCCAGCTGCCGGAATGATGCGGTTACATGAGAACCTGGACGGTGGTGGTGGTGGTAAATACAAGTCCTGAGCCCTCCTCCTTCCAGGTAGGCAGGGGCGTGACAACACTCCGGACTAGGGTTCCAACCCCAGGTGCTGAAAAACCAGGTTAAACACCTGTAGTTAAAATAAAACGCAGGATTGTTTCCACACTGAAGCCTGGCCCTGCTCTTTCGCCTCGCTGCAGCTCCTCTCTCCTTGGGGTGCGCGCGGCTCTCAGCGGCCTCTGCTGGACGGCGCTTGGCCTCCCGCCGGGCTGAGCTGCAGGGCGGAGCCGGGGCGGGGCCAGCCGAGCCCGGCCTCCACCTCCCCGGCAGGCGGCGCGGGCCATGGCGCTGGCGGAGCTGGCCGCGCGGCTGAACTGCGCCGAGTACAAGAACTGGGTGAAGGCCGGGCACTGCCTGGTGCTGCTGCGGGACGCGCTGCAGCGCTTCGCCGGGGAGCAGCTCCGCGCCTTCCACCGCCAGCTGCTCGCCCGCAGCCCCGCCCGCCTGGCGCCCCCGGGCCGCCTCTGCCGCGGCCGCTGCCTTCCCCGGGGCAGGCAGGTGAGAGCCGGAGCCCGCAGCGCGCTCGGGGCGGGGAGGTGGCTCTTGATGGGCTGCAGGCAGCGCCCAAGTGCTGGGGGTCCATCGCGGGGAGCGGGTCCCTTACAGCCCATCAGACCCGCCCCGCCGCTCAGGGGCGCGAGGCTCAGCCTGTGCACTTTGTTACCCCGGTGTGTAGCCAGCCTGCCCCAGCCCCCTGCTAGGGCTGGATGTGGTCCTGGAGACTTGGTCACGTGACAGTCTGCCATTAAAGATTAATCTTGAATTCCACTCCTGCAAGGTTGGCAAGCCTGTGCCGCGTGGAGAGCACCACCCTTGCACTGCCGGTAGGAAGTCAGCATGGCCAGCTCTGGTGATGTCATTGTGCGTCTGGTGAGCACAGTTTTCTTAAAGCTCCAGTTTCTGCAGTGTGGTGATGATGAGAGATTCTGGACTGTCATTTGACCTAAGTTTTTAGCCCTCTTGGTTGCAGAGAAAACCTTGAAAACATGATCTGAGAGCAGCCTGAAGGCTCGAGAACCAGCAGGCAACACCCCGCCCCCCCCCAGCATGTTGCTTTTTAAAATTCTAATGATTTTTAGAGGACTGATTCGTGAATTTTGAACACTTGGCATCAGCAATGTTATGCATGGCACTGCTGCTTAAATCAGCACCAACAAATAGAGGAACTGGGCTGATTTTGGGAGGAGGTGTTGGAGTTTAGGAGCAGAGCACAGAGTTGTGAGCACTATGTTGTTAGACCATTATCTTTTTCTCCTTGTCTAGTTCACTCGTTTTTTGAGTACCTTAGTTCTTAAAGTGGGGGGGGGGGTGGGGCTGCTTCTCTTCCAGACCTACATGAGAGACTTCGCAGTGCTACCTGCACAACTTCATTTACTTAATCACCGACTACAGTCCCAGGAAGGCTGCAGGATTGGGCCCTCCCTCCTTCCTTCACATCGGGGTTCCTGATGGTTAGCCCAGAAAAGAAGTTCTAGGTGGGATGTTAGACAAGAAATTCAGAGATGGAGAATTTCTTTGCTTTCTAATTCACAGTTTTATGGTCCATTATTATCCCAGCCATTCAATTTCTGAGTCCAATATTGGCTCAGCAGAGAGTGCTATGGGACTGACTGGGTCTCTACCCTGCTCTTTCTGCGGCTTACTGTGCTCTCATCTACTAGGCACTTAACTGCCTAAAGCCTTGTTGACCTTTGTATTTGCTCTCAAACTCCTGTCTCTTTGCATGGCATACATAGCCGTTATACAGAGCTAGATATCTTTTTGTTGTTGTTTGAAGATCAGTTGTGATTAGGGCTGTTGATTAATTACAGTTAATTTGCAATTAACTAAAAAAAATTAATCGCTATTAAAAAAATTTATCACGATTAATCACAGTTTTAATGGCACTGTTAAACAATAGAATACCAATTGAAATGTATTAAATATTTTTGGATGTTCTTCTACATTTTCAAATATATTGGTTTCAATTACAACACAGAATACCAAGTGTACAGTGTTCACTTTATATTTTTTTACAAATATTTTCACTGTAAAAATGATAAGAAATAGTATTTTTCAATTCGCAACATACAAGTACTGTAGTGCAATCTCTGTTGTGAAAGTGCAATTTATAAATATAGGGTGTGTTTGTTTTTTGTTACATAACTGCACTCAAAAACAAAACAATATAAAACTTCAGCACCTATAAGTCCACTCAATCCTATTTCTTGTTCAGCCAATCACTAAGAAAACAAGTTTGTTTACATTTACGGGAGATAATGCTGCCCGCTTCTTATTTACATCACCTGAAAGTGAGAACAGGTGTTCGCATGGCACTTTTGTAGCCAGCATTGCAAGGTATTTACATGCCAGATATGCTAAACACTCGTATGCCTCTTCATGCTTTGGCCATCTTTCCAGAGGACATGCTTCCATGCTGATGATGGTCGTTAAAAAAATAATGCGTTAATTAAATTTATGACTCAAGTCCTTAGGGGAGAATTGTATGTCTCCTGCTCTGTTTTACCCACTTTTTGCCATATATTTCATGTTATAGCAGTCTCGGACGATGACCCAGCACGTGTTCATTTTAAGGACACTTTCACTGCAGATTTGACAAAACGCAAGAAGGTACCAATGTGAGATTTCTAAAGATAGCTACAGCACTTGACCCAAGGTTTAAGAATCTGAAGTGCCTTCCAAAATCTGAGCGGGACGAGGCATGGAGCATGCTTTCAGAAGTCTTAAAAGAGCAACGCTCCGATGCGGAAACTACAGAACTAAACCACCAAAAAGAAAATCAACTTTCTGCTGGTGGCATGAGAGTCAGATGATAAAAATGAACATGTGTTAGTACCACACTGCTTTGGATTCTTATTGAGCAGAACCCATCATTAGCATGGACACATGTCCTCTGGAATGGTGGTTGAAGCATGAAGGGGCATGTGAGTGTTTAGCATATCTGGCATGTAAATATGTTGTGAAGCCGGCTACAAAAGTGCCACGTGAACCCTCATTCTCGCTTTCAGGTAACATTGTAAACAAGAAGCAGGCAGCATTATCTCCTGCAAATGTAAACAAACTTGTTTGTCTGACCGATTGGCTGAACAAGAAGTAGGACTGAGCGGACATGTAGGCTCTAAATCAGGGGTCGGCAGCCGTTCAGAAGTGGTGTGCCAAGTCTTCATTTATTCACTGTAATTTAAGGTTTCGCGTGCCAGTAATACATTTTACATTTACAGGGGCCAGCGGATGGAACCTCAGACTGGCAGTGGGCTGAGTGAGGCCGGCAGCCCGGACCCCAGGCCAGCAGCGGGCTGAGTGGCTCAGCCCGCTGCCAGTCTGGGGTTCCAGCCCCTGCCAGCTGGGGTCCTGACTGCTGGCCCCACTCAGCCCGCTGCTGGCCCGGGGTTCTGTCCATCCAGGCCGGCAGCGGGCTGAGCAGGGCCGGCGGCAGGGACCCCAGGCGGGCAGCAGCATGCAACAGTAAATCATGTTTTACTGTTGCCGACCCCTGCTCTAAACTTTTACATTGTTTTGTTTTTGAATTGCAGGTTTTTTTGTACATAATTCTACATTTGTAAGTTCAACTTTCATGATAAAGAGATTTCACTACAGTACTTGTATTAGATGAATTGAAAAATACTATTTCTTTTATTTTTACTATGCAAATATTTGTAATCAAAAGTAAAAAAGTGAGCATTGTACACTTTGTATTCTGTGGTGTAATTCAAACCAATATATTTGAAAATGTAGAAAACATCCAAAAATATTTAACTAAATGGTATTCTATTATTGTTTAACAGTGCGATCAATCACGATTAATTTTTTTTAAGCGCTTGACAGCGATAAAACTTTTGTTTTTAGTTTCCAGCAAAGAGAGAGAAGGGTGAATACAATAGAACTTCAGAGTTATGAACTGACCAGTCAATTACAAACCTCATTTGGAAGTGGAAGTACGCAATCAGGCAGCAGCAGAGATGACTCCCTCCCCCCAAAAAGCAAATACAGTACAGTACTGTGTTAAATGTAAACTACTAAAAAAAATTAAGAGAAAAGAGCATTTTTCTTTTGCATTGTAAAGTTTCAAAACTGTATTAAGTCAATGTTCAGTTGTAAACTTTTGAAGAACAACCATAATGTTTTGTTCAGAGTTACAGAACATGTCAGAGTTATGAACAACCTCCATTTCCGAGGTGTCTGTAACTCTGAGGGTCTACTGTAGTAAGTGTTAGTGCACATGAAAGTGAAGGTTTAGTAGTACTGGCTAGGGTTGGGCATAGTGGAAGCTTCTCACATGGCTTCTTTAGTACTCTTCTGAGGAAAAACTGATGCTTGTGCCAATCTATGTAGGGTAGTTTAATGTTGTGAAGAAAGCTTCCCCTAAGCACCATAATGAGATTCTTCATCTACTTTTCACTCATGTTAATTTATTGTAACAGTAACGTAGAAGTATGAACATTGTGTTAGATACCACTTGTGGATATTGTAATTATCTAAAAACAAGCATTATCAACCCAGGAAATTCAGAGTTATGCTTAGATATAAAAGAAATCCAAACAAATTAAGGTATAGAAATGCAGTAAGGGCACCCAAACTAGCTTGACTGCTCTATAGTAACACCATGAAGAAATTAAATAAATAAAATGTCTTTTAAAAAACTGTTTAGTCTAATCTGGGACTACATTCTCAAATGCCTTAATCATGATCCTATTGTTGTTATGATGGTGTCCGCATACTCCATTATTAAGCTCATAGGGCCAAAAAGGACTAAGACAGGATGAATATTTTAAAGTATCTATTTTAATTAATAGAACCTAATGAATGAGTTTACTTGTGCATGCTCAGAAAATTCATTCTGTGCTCAGAGTAAATTCCATAGTCTTGTAGAGGATATACAGTGTTTTTCATACATAACAAAGAGATTGAATTTCTGCGTTAAGTGCAAAATTAAATTCAACTTCAACTGTGGAAGCATGACCTGTGACTCCATAATATCCAGTAATAATAATCACTATTATTACATACCAGAAACAATGTACTGAGAGCTGGCAGTTCACTGATCCTCTCTGTTAGAGTACATTTAAAAAACAAACAAACTCTGTAACATAATTCAAGATAACAAACATTCACTTTAGTGTTCTTCAGTGCCACCCACAATTATTTATTTGTGCAGCCCTATAAGAGTGCTGAGTACTATATTAGACCTACAAATAAAACAAAGTTTCTGCCCTGGGGAGTTTACAGTCTAATTCACATACATATTTAATCCCTCTGCCCCACAAAGTTAATGACAAAGGTGGAGGAGGGTTTGTATGTGCGTGCACATGTAGAAAGAACAATCAGAAAAGTTAAATTGGAATAAACTGTTATACGCTTTAGCTGTTAGGACATCCTTCCCAGCTGAAAATTCCCTAAGGATTCAACCATGTTCAGATATGTCTTTTATTAACCCTAATGTAAATTGTAAGGAAAAAATGCATAACTTCAAATTCTGCTGTTAAAGCATTCTTCTCTTTCACCACGGGGTTTGTCACGCAACCCTCATTTGAGACATCTGGTTAGCATTGGCCTTAACCCTGGATAGGAGAAGCTTCAGACTCATTTCCAGTTGAGTCCTGACTCTCGTTGAACCCAGGTCTCTAGAGGTGAGAGGCTACTGCCCTAACCTACTGTATTTATTATACCGAAATTCTCAATTACATCTCTGCGTAACAGTTCAGCGCTCTGCATATGAGAATCTGTGCATTTGATCAAATTTCTGAATGAACATTCCTTGAATCCTTTTTCTAGCCTCTGCTGCAATGTAGTAATAACCCTGTGCACTTTTTAAAGTGTAATTTAAAGGGTGCAAGTACTAAGGTAAATTACATTGGTTTCTTTCCTATTTTTTTTTCTTTTTAGTTTCAGTCCAGCTGTTCACTGTGCACAGAGTGGAAAAAGGAGATTTTGAATCATCACACCAACAGGAATGGAGAAGTTCACTGGGGAAACTGCAAACCTTGGCTTTGGCCTTCTAACTCATGGGAACTTGCAAAGGTAACATAATTAAATTCATTGTTTAGAAGAATCACACTTGGGGTCAGCTCATGTCCTCAGTTTCATCCACGTGTGGTTCCATAATGAATTCAGTTTGGCTGGATAGGAGTCTGTCAGGGCAGGATTTGGATGTATGGTGCAATCCTGGCCCTGTAGAAGACAATGGCAAAACTCCCATTGTCTTCAGTGGGGGCAGGATTTCATCCCTGGAGAACAAACTGTTGCACATGTATTGTCCTTTTTTCTTGCTAATAGTAGACAAAAGGAAAGGTTTCAGTGGCTAACCTTGTGCTTTTCCATGTTCTGAGCATCCAAGTCACTACCCTTTTGGGCTTAACCAACTTGATTTCATTTTTATTTCATCCTGGATTTGAAAACACATTGACTAGGCTTAAATCCAAGCCAGTGTATAGCAATATTTCTTAGTTCAGCCCAAAGAAATATAATGAAAAGGTATTAGGAATAGTATTTGGTAATATTTACAGTGTTGTAAAGTTCAATGGTACCATGCAAAATTGTTGGCATTTCTGCTCTGCTTCCTGATTTGCTGAACATCCTCTAAAATAATCACTGACTGAAACATGGTCTGTAAAGTACTCAGTAATGTATCTAAATTCTCAATGGAATAAATACTTGTAGTCTCACAGATCTCTTTAAAGAAATCCTTTAAAAGTGAAGCTTGTGCATCAAAAGATGAAGTTCAGTTTAAACTATTTAATTAAAAAAGGAAACCCCTTAAAAAGTAGCAAAATAACACACAAACTTTTATACTAACTAGGCTACTTCATCTGTCTGAACCAATGTGTTGGTGGTGGTGGTCTGTGCAGGCAGGCAGTTAACCCAGGGTAAAGTCCCCATATAATCCCAGTGCTTCATTCTAGAGGATATTGTAGCTGGGTAGTGTTCTGGGAACAGGGGTGGTATGATGTGCTGGTACACGTGAACAACAAAGCATCTGAAGTGAAAAGTAATATTCCCCCTCCCCACCAAAAAAAACCTTCCTGGTTTTGTCTGCTATTGCAGATATGTGTATTTAAAATATCGTTTTCCCTTCACTCACTAATCTCCCACCCGAATGGCTGAACTTGCACAGCTCTGTGCTCAACTTGATGGGATACATCTGTAAGACGATAACTTTTCAGTGCTACATCAGATCAATTGCAAAATTTCAAGGAATGTTCCAGGCATTGGTGGGGAGAATATCAATTTTTTTTGGTGAAAATCACAAAAGCAAAAGGGTGAAATAGGGGACACATGATGCCCTGGCATCTGGTTAGCAGACCTAGCAACTTTAATCAGATCTGTTATGGTCTCTTGCTGTGGTTCTCAACCTTTCCAGACTACTGTACCTCTTTCAGGAGTCTGATTTGTCTTGTGTACCCCAAGTTTCACCTCACTTAAAAACTACAACTTCAACCTCATTAACATTCTTGTACGCATCAGTAAATGACATACACAATGTATTCGACATACATTTTATCTGCACATCACGCTACCGTAAAATACAGTATATAGAGCAGTATAAACAAATCATTGTATGAAATTTTAGTTTGTACTGACTTCACTAGTGCTTTTTATGTAGCCTGTTGTAAAACTAGGCAAATATCTAGATCAGTTTATGTATCCCCTGGAAGATCTCTGCGTACCCCCAGGAGTACACCTACGCCTGGTTGAGAACCATAGATCAAAGAACTGGTTGATGGCAGCCATTAACTCCTTCCATTGTAACAATACCCCCCCCCCCATCTCAGTTCTGCCCAGCCTCTCAATACAGTTTAAGATGTTGACATCCTGAATGACTTGTCTCCTACTCCATGGGGGAGTGGGGTGCAGGGGCAATGGATTCTTCCTAAAAGTGGTGGAGCTACGAGGCCCTGTCCCCTCCATGGCCCCTGGCCAAGCTGGAGCCGAGTTGGGGAGCCCGGGCCCCTCCATCTGCCTGGGGTGGGGACACAGGCTTGGGGCTGCTCTCGAGCCCCCCAGCCCCAGGCAGGTGGAGGGGTGGGTCCCCACAGCTGCCCGGGCTCCCTGGACCGGGCTCCAGCTTCTGATCTAGCCTGGGGGTGGGGCCTTGGGGGGGAAGAGGAGGGACAGGGATCCAGACCCGTGGTGAAAAGTGGAAGACTTTCAAAAGTTAGAGGGCCTTGGGCCCCCTCTGTTCCGGTGCCCCTGAAGGGGGGCACAGAGCACCTGGTTGGGGGCAGGGGATTTGGATGCATAGATGGTGGGAGGGAACACAGAGCCCCTGGCATGAAGGAGGGAGTTGGAGGTGCGGGGTGTCCCTGAAATAGAGGGGGATAGGAGGGTGGCACAAAAGAAGCTCATGCGGGGAATGGAGGGAAGAGCTGAGCCGACACAAGCTTTAAAGTGTGCAACTCCCTAGTGATGCAGGGAAGTCATGAGTGTGTATAACTATACAATATGTTATAGTGTTCATTTAGCATTGTGACTTCATTGCAGAATCAAATAATCAAGTAGGGAAAGATTTAAGGGTTGTGAAGGAAATAACCATTTGCTTGAACACATTGTTAATTGGCAAATGCAGCAAGTGGAGTTGTAGAGATTGTGTTCTAGTTTATTGCATTTACTTTAGGCAATATCATTTTGAAACCTAAACAGTGCTTATAGGCAGATAAGGAAATCACACATTTGTGTACTTCCTGAAACCAAAAATGACATTGGTATCGTGCACTTTTGTTATGTAGGCTTATATGCCTCGTGGGCAGATGGATATTTCTGGACCAGACAAGTGTGATGCAGCTGCTCTTCTAAACCTTTTCAACTTTTGTGATCACTTCAGTGGTATTGACCAGAAGAAAGTCAGAGAGGTAAAATCTACCAGACTATTTCCAAGAACTATTTTTAATTAATATATATTCTGTAAAATACTGTAGCTTGTGTGGTGGGATGGGTATGGCCGTCATGTAGCAGTGCTGTTTTTCTTCATTCTCCTGTTTAGGTGATTAAGTGCCGCAATGAATTAATGCATTCTTCAGAAATGAAAGTTTCTTCTTTATGGTTGGAAGAGTTTGAAAAGAAGATTCAGAATTTATTAAAGGAACTCCAGAATGTTCCAGAAGTTATGACTGCTAGTACAAGGATAGAAAAGGTAAAAGAAATAATTCTGATCTGTAGTTTTTTTGTTATAAATTGTAGGTATAATCCAGTACATTAGAAATCTGCAAGGACTTTTAAAAGTCTCTGAAATTTCACTGGGGGATTATATTTTTCTACTCTGTTTATTTAAATGTCCAGTCTCATTGTACATTACAAAAAGAGTCAAATACCTTCCGTCAATGGGACTGTTCATCATAGGAAGCACTACTCTCCAGTGTTTGCAGGTTCTGGGTCAATGGTAACTCACCACTGTAAATCAAATATTTGTGAGGCTGAGCGGGAAACAGCCCTTTTCTACCAGATGTTTTGGCCCTGATCCTACCGTCCATCCAAGCTCTGTTTGGCGCAAGACCTGATTGGTGTGGCAGAGGTAGCTGTATGCCACCTTTGAGCTTCCCCAGTCCCTGGACTGCTGGGCCATTTGTTCCTCCAATGCAACCATCCATGCTCCTTCCGCCAATGTACCCTCCCTCTATGAGGTAGCTACGCTAACCTGCGTGTCTCTTCATATTCATATACAGATCAGAGACTTATCTCGCCCTCCTCTCTGTACTGAAGAGACAGCATCTTCCTACCTTGCCCTCTGAATGCAATCCTCTCTCTACTACTGTAAGCAAGAGAGCTGAGTCTGCCCCATCCATCTATCTTGTACCCAGTCTAGAAGTAGTTATTTATCTAATCCTCCTCCTGATGTTGGGTGAGACCACACTACTCGCAGCGCAGATATCCCTCTCGACTCTGTCTTCTACACAAGTACCAGCTCCATGCCCCAGAGTATCTCATTCTTCTACACATGCTCTTGTCCTACCTGTTTATATCTAGAGATCATAGGGGAGTTGGCATGTTCATCCAACTTATTACTTCTTCCAATATTAAATATTACAGCTGCTTTTCAGGAGTTTAAGAGGTTATATAGACCTGTATTTACTTTTATATGTGGCTGCTGCACAATGTGGTGGGATGAGGGGATAAAATGAAAGCTTTCCTGCGCCACGCCACCTATTTGCCAACAGGTTTAAGCGGCAGTTGGGAAGGTGGTTTTAAGGGAATATTCATTTGAGGAATTGGTCTGTGCAGAAAAGAACTGAAATTGATCATGTTGCCTGATAAGTGGAAATGTTGGTAGGGTTTTCTGGGCTTAAGTCACTGTTAATATTGCTTATTTTCTGTTACTAATCGACAGAATAGAGTGGTTTTATTAAAATAGGCTTTTGAGCCTGTGACTGATTGACAATTTTCTGCAATATCCTGAATGAACTTTATAGAATTAAGCTACACCTTACTGAATTAGGCTTACTACCTTTGGGTCCACTGTATGTGCTGTTGTGGCATTATATGCACCTGCTCTGGCAGGACGGGAATGCTAATGAAACTCCTCCCTTATCAGACCTTTGATGCTACCCCTTGGAGAGGTTGCAATATACTAGTTCAAACTGGATTCTCCAGGGACCAACAGGCAAAGAAAGGATTTTTTGATAAATAGCCTGGTTTTAAACTGGCTCAGGTTCTGCTTTCTGATCCAGCAAATGGACAAGATCCCTATCCACAGAGGGCCCCAATTCTTAGGGTAGGGCTGGAAAGACTGGGCCTGCTGAGGCCACATAAGACTGCATACTAGTTCTGAGCTGAGGCGATGATGAACTTGTATCCAACAAGAAATCCTGTGGTAAAGTGTTGAAGGACTGCTCCTGAAGCCTATGGTGCAGTTGGGGTGATCTCTGGTAAACTTATTCGCATGCATGTAGCTTCTTTTATTGTTTTTAATATGTTCTCTCGGTAGTGCTTTTACCTTAAGAATAAAGAAGGCTTGCATAAAAAGAGCTGTGAGGTAACATACAACTGTTGACCATCACTCTTATCAGTCTCTGAAGAGAAAGCAAATAACTGTGCTTGGGCAGCCTGTCTCTGCTGGGAATAACACAGTGAAGACAGGGAACTGTGCAGCCTAGAAATATTCCATTCTGACCGGGGTGAGATATCGGTCTCTGCCCAAGAAAGGCAACGGCTGGAACTGTAAGCCTGAAATGTGGGTGCTGTTGCTGGACCACACAGGGACTACAGGTGCAGTTGCCCTCAACTGTGACAAAGCCCATTAAACAAGCTCTTGCAGCGGCACTAGAGAGAACAAAATTACTTTTCTTTCATTCTTCCCTATAAGGGCTATATGTAAACTCTAAAACTGTCACCACAGCAAGCTGATAACTTCTGACACTCGGTAGGCAGTACCCCTAAATGTCCAAGAGATACAGCCCTTGTCTGTCCTATGTCTTCGGACCTAGGCTACAGACTGAGAATGGTTCTGAGCTGTTTAATTACACAATACAGTGTAGTTTTCATAGATGCTTCCTTTATACACATTATCACCAATCTCTACCAAAAGACTGACTTTTGTGTAAAAAAAGGGTAGAGAGAAAAGGGAATGAATGGGGTTAAAGGGCACGGTATAACGACCATCACACCAAGGGGGTTCAGCCTCTGATAGTGTGAACAATACCACAATGGACAGATTATTTCAGGCATCTCTTCCTCTCCCATTCTCCATCACATGGACCACCTCCCCATCTTTTTTCTGTTGCATAACACCCCTGAGGCAGCCACAGCAATTTCTTACATGAAAAATAACAGCAGGTGTATGGAAGTACATATTTATGTTTCTGTCTTTGGAATGATAAATGCTTTATACTTTTCAAAAAGAGTTACTCACATTCTCTCCTTTTCAGGGTGGCTTCATTTAACTCAAAGGAATTTAAATAATTGATTTTAATTTTGTTTTGCATTGCATTTATACTTTTTAGTTTATTTTCCTAAAGAAAGGTTGATCCTCACTGGTTGGGAACCATTAAAACATATTGATTTGCAACTAAATACAGCCTTTGTACTAAACGTGGTACATCTTTTTTGCTAATCAAGAACATATGCTATATTTATACACATTTATTTAAGCAACTAAAGAGCTTAACATACATTTATTCAGATTCTTAACACTTACCTTTTTTTATTAGAAAATGGTGAATGGTGCATTTCTTTTTTACTACACATTGTTTTTTATTTTTGTGTAAAGCTCTTTATATATAAATTTAATTAAAAAAGCATTTTTGTTTTTTTTTTTGTTAAATAAAACTATCTTAATTGTGCTGGATACATGAGAAAAGTTTATCAAAATATGTTTGCATTTAAAATGAACTGATTTATTAAACAAAGGAAGTATTATCTGTAGTTAGTGAATTGAACTGATTTTCTGATCACCATGTCCTTCAAGATTTTAGAACTAGTAGATTCCATCCTCTCACATCTAGCTTTTATTCATAGATTGAAAAAGGAAAACAAGCTTTTATGCTTTTTCAACTCCCATCCCATTGTTTTCCTAACTTTGAATGAACTAATCATTGAACTGAACTAGATGAATAAACTGAAATGAAAAAAATATTCTCTGCACCTTTTATTTTTTTAAAATAAACCTGTATTTAATGTAAATTTAAAAAATCTGATTTAAATAATCTGTTTTTCTAAAATCATATTTCTAAAAAATTTTTATCCAGCCGGTTTCTTTTACTCCTCCCTTTGTCCCCCCCACCCCATCCCCGTGCTGTTTCTCCTGGTGGAATATGAGAGCCAGCACCATGTGATCAGCCAGCTCTGTACAGACAGCTGTTTAAGAACACCTAAATTTGATCGCTTATGCATGTTGGAACAAATTAGCTGAAATCCTGAAATAACCATTTTATATGTACCCCCATATATTCTAAATTATGGAGTTGGTGTTCCATATGTCAGTTTCATGTGCTTAGAGCACTAGACCTTTAACCTGGTGCCCAGCGCAATCAAGACATGACACCACAAGTGCTTGCTTTGTGGGGTTGGAGGTAAAAGTTAGCCTAAAATTCACTTTGTACAGTTATAGAAATGAGGAGCTAGAAGTATCCGGGAGCAACACTGATAAAGATTATAGAAAAGTATTTACAGATTTATTTAATCTGAACTCATTGCATAGTTAGAGTACTTTGTCACACTACTGAAACCACAAAATGAATGGCTGCTCTATTACAGTAGCATTAACTGGAGCTCTCTCTATGGTACCAGAAAGAGTGCCTTTTTAAATTTAATCACCTATTTCATTTTCCTCTTATAAACCAAACAGCTTCTGTCATCGGATTGGGCTGTTTATATACCAGGGGAAGAAGATCAGCCAGATGGATTGGAAGGAGAAACAGAAGTTTGCATGAGTGGGAGCCAAATAAGTGAAATAGAGATGGAATTAATAAAGGAAAGACTTAAAGAGATCTATCTTCTGGTAGAAGAGCAGGAGATGCTGTCTGAAGAGGTACTTTTAAAATTAAAAAAACATAAAAAGACTTAACGTATTAGTCAGATATTTAAAGGAAAGAAGTTATGGCTCATTCTGGGTAATGAACAGGATTTCTTTTTTGCGTTTAAACCAATATTTACTGGAAAAGGGCTAGCCAAGTGAAGGCAGGCTTACAGTTTACCATATAGTAAACTTGAAATCCCTCCAGGAGCATAAGAGATGTTCCAAAAACCTCCCACTTTAGTACTACATCTAGGCAGTTTGACGCTGAGATACGGAATGGAATGTGATTGCCTGCTGAGAGCATCTTTCCAGGAACTCCTAAACTTCAGCATTGAAGACTGGCTAGTTGAGGTACAGAAGATGCTTGAAAATGTGAATACTGTATACAACGTACATTGAATTTCCCTGATTTAACATGGCAATAATCTGTGCACAAGATCTCTGATATGCATGTGTCCATATAGTCTGCTTTTCAAGATGTTCTCGTCCTCTTTTGATATAGTTATGTAACTCCCTTTAGCATTAATAGCAGTTACATATTTGCACCTAGAATAGAACAGTTCCCTTAAGCAAGCAAGATATCTTTGCTGAATTTTCCCCTGCACATGTTCTATATTTTCTTTAAACTTTTGTCCTAAAATTAATGGTGTTATGTGTTTTGAGTTATCAGAATTTCTAAAGGTGCATTTAAAAAAAAAAAAAAAAGTTTGAAGGTTTTTAGCACAAACTTCTAATTGTCTTAAAACCTGCTTCTGCATATATAGCTGAAGGAAACACTGTTGGGAATTTTAATTTTAAAAAAGTTTTGTTTAAAACAACATTTTTACAAAACCTAAAATTGCTTTTTTTTTTATTCTGATGAAAATTAGTTTTTTAAAATAGAAACATCTCCCTCCCATGTTTGCAAACATGAGCATTGTATTAGCTAACAGAAACAAAATGAAACTGACTAGTCAGTTTTCCTTGTTGTAAATATGTAAAAAATCAGAGCGCAAACACCACAAAAGTAGAAAAGTAAACTAGGTTCAAATTATTTTGCTTTTAATACTTTAACCTTTTGTTAGTAGCAGAGGTAAAGGAAGACTTTTTGTATTTTAAAAAAAAAAAAAAAAAGTCTTACCTTGACAGTATTTCTGTGAATTTTTAAATCTCTCCTCTATTTAAGTTACAAGAAAAATTTAAAAATGTAACCTTGCTCTCAACATAAGGCTTTGCACGAGCATGCTGAAAGCTGTGACACATTCTGTAGATCCTCTCCAGGGACTGGCAGAAAGAGGGTTAACACTGACTGTAGTCAAGACTACAGGAGCTTGCTGTTACCCTAGTGATTGTCAGAATAACCAGACTGTGCCAGCTGTTATGTATTAATTTCCCAGGATACTAAGAAGAGGGAGGTACTCCCAGGTGCTGTTGAGTGCCATGCACCAGGAGCAAAACCTTCCTTCCAGGCAAAGAGAAGAGGAACATGCTATCTAAAACCCCTTTCTTGTTTTAAAACAAGACTGAAACCATGGCTGCACAAAGCCTTTTTGAGCTCCAAGTAAGCCTTGACTGGGGGGAGGATTGTTCACTTTTTACAAGGCTCTGAACCCAGGCTGAGAGGAAGATTTTTTTTTTCAGTTTAAATTCTATGAGAAGGTATTAAAATAAACAAGTAAAATAATTCCCAAGCCCTGGACAAACCTGGTTGAACCCATCTGGTGATCTGTGAGACCTTGTGAGACTGTCTCAAATTTCATCTGACTTATCACAATAGAAGATAAACGCTATAAACAGGTCTGATTATTCTAGGGATAGAACCAGACTTGTTGGGTGTCTTTTGAATTTTTTTTCTAAGCACCTCTACATCATTCTTGCATCTTCAAGTAACCTGGAAAGAACCTAAAGTGAAACCTTGAGCAAAAAGCATTCTTAAAGTAAGTGAAACTTTGGCCCTGAAACCTGGACACTGTCCAATGCGTATGTAATTTCCAGCATCTCTTTTTTTTCAGTGTCTTCTGTGAAGGGTATGTTGTCTGAATCTCCTTTTTCTGTTGTAAGAAATACCCCCCTTTTCAACAGTCTCAGTTGTTATTTACACAGCAATTCCTCCCCCTCATTCTGGGAAATGTGATCAATCTGTACATGGCTCATTCTCTTCCTCCACTGTAAATTAGGAAGTAAAACAAATGTTTAACAAACTTGGCATTTCTTTATCCTCAGTCTTCCATTCTCATTGACATCTTTATTGAACAAACTCAATTTTACCTTTTGCAAGTGTTTTTGAAGAACTGTGTTGTTGCTAGTGAAAATGTTCTCTGCAGTTGAGTATTCCTCTTGGAAAAATGCCCTCAGGTTGGCTTTCCTTTATGCTTCAGTAAAAAACAAAATTGTTTACTAAAGTATGTAGCATGCATAATTCTCTTATAAATTGAATGCTTCTCACCCCCAGAAGCACGCATGATATGCTTAGCATCCATAAGAAAACATTTTAAAAAGAGGGAAAGACTTTTGCCCTTTGCTGATCATCTCCATGTCCCACATTTCATATTTATTCCCCACTTCTGCTGTGCTCCCAAAGCTGAGTTGAGAATATCCCTTCAATACTGGTGCCATAGTTTCAAATTCATCTCTTTTTGGTCTAGGTGTTTTCCAACTCTCATTTTCCTGTTTGCTTTGAGAGAGATCCTTTCATGGTCACCTTCTTCCCCTCCTCCTCCAGTCACCAAATATTTGATTGCGCAGGTTGAAATTGACACTATTGGTGGTCCACAGACATAGTCTGAGAACCTTTGTCCTAGTCTACATTTTCCTCCCATCATCAGCTGCTTCTAACTTTTTAAAATTTAGTTCTCTTTCTGTATGCCAGATGTAAAAATCCTCATCTTACCCCACGAGAATTTTTTTAAAGAACCCCCTTTTCAAATAAAAAATCCTAAACAATAGTTAAATTTAAAAAAAAATCCTTCAACATTGTCAGATATTTTAAACGTGCACGCCGTGCAAAGATGTGGCCACCACAGTGGCTGTAATTTGGCTTCCTTGCATGTGTGTAGTATATGCTGCCTGCTGGTCTCTGGCAGAGTTGTGAATTGCTTTTCCCAGGCCCTTCTTGCTGCATGCTTGAGTTTCCCGGAGCTGCAGTTGCTTGTACCATCTGAAAAGATCTCTTCTGGGATGAGCTGCCTCCTGTAGTCTCCATCTGTGAGCAGGGAAGACTTGATTGCCAAAGACTGCAAGTGGATTTTCCTCTCACATCATCATACGATGAAGGGGGGGAACCTGCCAAAAATTGGGAATGTTTTTTTCAATTGAAATTGTAAATAGGCCAATATCTTACAAATAAATTTTACTTAACTCATTTCACCCTCGCTTTTAAAAAATAGAGAGTTTAGATAGCCTTAAGTCTTTGCATTGAATTTTTTTGCCTGTGGGGAGAGGAGAAATGAACTGGGAATATACATTCAAATACATGTAGCATGTGCTAGAACACACAGAGATGAGTCCAGATGAATTAAGGTTACTGTAACAACCATAAGCTATAATTTTCTTGCTCTTTGTTAGTGTCACTCCACTTTAACAGAATATTAATCTACGATTATAGTTTAAAGTCTGAGACAATAAAATCATAGAATCAGAGAACTGGAAGGGACCTCGAGAGGTCATCTAGTCCAGTCCCCTGCACTCAAGGCAGGACTAAGTATTACCTAAATGTAAAATGTACAGTGCATGTGCCATAACAGGTTTGGTAAGATGCGCAGTGGATTTGTTTTGCTGTGAAGCTGTTCGGACTTCATTGACAGAGGCAGGTTTACAGTCCAATCTTGCATCAACGATTACCTGCCTTTGTCAAATTGTTATCTGCTTACATGATAAAAATCCTTTGTCCACAGGGATGGTCGAAACAAGCCCTTTACGTGGACCAGTATCTTAAAGATGATCTATCTGAGTTTAAATTCTTCTCTGGTGAGAATTGTTAGGCAACCTGCCCTCAGCTTCACGTGTTTCCCACATTCTCTGTCCTCGTTTTGCTGAAGCTACACTCCCACTCACCAGCTTTTGCTCTAAAAAAAGCTTAAAACAAATTCGCTCTTAAAATACATAGAAACAAGATGGGTGAGGTAATATCTTCTATTGGTGAGAGAGACAAGCTTTCCAGCTTACACAGAGTTCTTCAGGTCAGCTCTGTATAAGCTCAAAAGCTTGTCTCTCCCCAACAGAAGTTGGTCCAAAAAAAGATATTACCTCACCCACCTTGTCTTTCTAATGTCCTTGGACTGACACAGCTACAACACTGTATATTTAAAACAAATAAGAGTCTAATAGCAGGATTCTTTCTATATTTCTGGCCAGAAAATGCAGAAATCCTAAACAAGCCAATGAAAAAGCCTTTTTATAATTAGAGGATGTGGAAATTATATGCTAGAGAGCAAATACCAAGAAAGTGTGATAGTTGAAGAAGCTTATATTGTAATGTTTTGGCTCCATCAAGATGTGGTTTTGTTTTTGAATTTTTTGCTGCTGCTGTAGAACTTAAATAGGATACAGATGACAAAGAACTTCTTAAAGGACAGCGGTGATCTCCAAATAAGTCTTCAGGCAGATATGCAGAGGCTAGAAGGCCTTGAAAAAGAGGGGTACAACCAAAGAAGATCTATGAAAGAGACCACGAAAGAATATCCCAATCAGGAGGAGGATGAAGGCAAGTTTACTCATTTAGGAAAAGTGCTTTTCCTCTCTCTTAAGCTGTTGTGGATGTTACAAGCAAAAATTTGTAAAGGAGTTTGAGGAAAAGAGTACTGTCATGTAGAATAATTCTCTTTATCAGGATGTGTTGCTTTGACACGCTCGCTTTAGTGGGGCATCTCCCAGGGAACTAATTAGGCTATGATAATGAATGGCAGTGATTACTGCACAGTGTTAGTGAAACTGTTGTTTAATAGGGACACATTTTGTCAAGGCCATCAATTGTAGTATTTCAGCAGGTGTGGAATTGTTAAGATTCAGTCGTCTTTACAGAAATGATCAAATACAGGTTAAAAGAAGGACCAAAGAGATAATCTGCATGAGGATTTGTTCCACAGGTTGGGAACCACCAGGTTAAAAAGCATAAAAAATACTGAACTAAGAAACAAGTGCAACACTCGATTAGAGGAAGATTCACTGATGCGTTTTTGTTTTGTTTTTTTGTTTTAAATATAGGTTGTTTGTTAAAGGAAATGAAGTGTATTCCCAAAGAACAACTTTTGTGAAAGTGCCAGTGACTGTGTTTTGAAGAGAAGTTCCTGTAAGTGATTGACTTGTCAACACGTAGTCTGTCACTCACTGAGTGAGGGTATGCCCAGCCTCTTTAGTGGCTTGGAAAACAAACTTAAAGGGTGAATTGTCATGAGATGCCTTTCTAAAATTTCAAAACTTCCTGTTGCGGTTTGATGATTTTGTTTCTTGGAAGAATGTCATGTACTCCTCCCTCCCCTCCAACCCCTGCCTCCTTTTTCAATTTCAAGAATGTGGAGAAACCTAGCTAGAGCCAGGAAATAAACTGTAGGCTTGAAGGAATTGATCTTGCAAGGGTATGGAAGGCTGAGAGAAGGCAGTACTGAGCCACTGGGGCTTTGTTGTTGTTGATCCATTAAGGCAGTTAAGCTGAACAGAATGGATGTTGGGCAGCAAAAATACAGTCCCTAGCATATGCCATGAGGCCTTGAGCAGCTGGCTGTGAGAGAGAGAGTTTCATTTGTTTCTGTGTCTGGGCCTCATAACACCCTCTGTTCTCAGTTTAACATTGGCTCCTCAGTCACTTTGGTGTAAAGCAGCAACACTTAAGGGTGGCAGCAAAACCGTCTTAAAATAATTAAAATGACCACTGTACAACGCCGTTCCCTGACCATATCCTGTCTTTACTCACGACATGGTCGTTTTTCCCATTCATGAGCGCTCATTGCAGTCTGGGCATAGAGGTTTGCTTACATGATTCAAAACTGCATACATCTCTTAGTACCTCGTGCAGACCACTGCACAGTTCTCGAGAAAGTGCTCATCACCAATGCTTTAACTATCCGTGTTTCTTTCAACGGTGCTTTGCATGGTCAAGTCCTATGTAGTTGCTTAACCCTGAAAACAGTGGATTCAGGATTTCTGCTAAATTTGCAGCTGTCAGAATCCTGTAGTACCAATTTTAATGGAGCAAAGTCCTGGCTTTTTGTGCTTTTTTTTTAATATTTGTAAAGAATTTTTTGCAAGCACAATAAAACATAACTAAATTTTTTTTTTTAATGCCAACAGATGATGCATTTAGTACTGGCAAAGCATAATTTTGTTAGATTATTTGAGATTATTAATTATAATTTGAGATTATTAACCCCAGTTTTTCCCACTAAGAGCAAAAATATTGCAAGTGAGGGACACTGTCAACTAAAATAATCATACATTTATAATAAAACATTTAAAATCAATGACCTTCCAGAATACTGAAACTAATGTAATTAAAAAAAAAAAAAAGCACTTAAACCTTTTTTTTTTTTTGTTTTTTTCAATTTTATTTCTTTTCTCTTTAACATAATGGAGATCAGCAAACTCAGTTTGAATTTTGTGCAGTCCATATTACAATATTTCAGTTTTAGTGCTACGTTGTTGTTGTTGTTTTCAGATACTATTTTTACTTAAATGTTCCCTGCAACTATTTTCATTAGATTTTATTTTTTAATAGAAACATTTCTATTAGTCTTAAGTTTTATAAAACCTCATTTTTACAAAATGTGAATGTTAAGGTACATTTTGCTTTCCAGTACCCTCTAAAGGGTTGGCAGTAACATAAATGTATTTAATCTCTTGAGAGCTACCATTTCTTTTTAATAAAAATTTTGCAATCAATAAAAGGAACAAAATTCATATGTTATGAATGTGTAATGTTAATATTTGTGTCTCCTCTCCTCAGATTCATTGTTTTTGTTATTTTTATGTATATATTTGTCCCTTTTTCATGGCCTAGAAAATTCTTCTTTCTTTCAAGTTTCTGACTGGGCGACTGCTTTTGGGTGTTGCCGGAATTCACCAGCCTGCCTGTTGTTAGAATAGCGGAACAGGTGTCTGGGAAGCCAAGTGAGCAGATGATACTTTTTTGCATTTACTCTTAAGGAGGTGGCCTAGCCTCACCTCCCTGGAGGTTCCCAGAAGCCAGTGATATTCCTTATTACTATAGTTTACACTACAATAGCTAATATTTTGAAAAGCTGACACTGTGTTGAGTATTGGCTACAGCAATTATTAGAGGTGTTCACTTTAGAAAACGGGTCTGATCCTGCCCCCAGTAAAGTCAATGGAGATAAATAGGAGAAGAATCTAGCTCCCAATTGCCGTTCTAAGTTTGAGTTTGAGAACAATTGGCACATTTTATTTTTTTACTATAGCAGAGAACAGGGATGACAGAAATAGATTCCTAGGATTTGAGATAGCTGTCTGAGCAATTTAAAGGGTTTTGAGGCTCAATGCTGAAGTTCTCCATTAGCAAGGTTTTTGATTGACGATATTCCGGGCTTACTTGCTTTCCTGTATGATGTAGTAATAGTTGTCTGTCAGTTCAGCAGTGGTCTAAATACTGTAATAGATTATACAAGTATAGTAATGGACTCCTTTGTTCTGTCAGTTATTCTCACAAATGACTTTGACTCCAGCATTATAAGTGACTACTAACAGGGAGGGGCTTACCACGTAGATAGAAATATACTGGCACTGAGGCCTTTCAATAGGCAGTAACCTCTTAATGAAATACAGTACTTAAATTGCTTTTTTTATGAAGCATATAACATTTACAAAATATGTTTTGCCAGAGCACAAACCAAGAAACGTATTCATTTCCAGTAACATGACATTCAATGAAGTGAAAAACCATTCTTGTGATGAATTGTATTTTACAAGAAGAAATCCTGATACATCAAAATCCAGTGGCGAGAATTCAAAAAAGTTCTGATTCTTTTCAGATTCAGTTTATTGCTTAAATTACCAAAAAGCCAAGGAGAGGATATTCCCCATCCCTAAACCTAGGGTCTGATGCAAAGGCATCAAATACCCACCTTTCTTTATGGAATTATGGGGCCCGTGTGGGTGTTCAGAGTTTATAGAGTCTAAGATTTCATTTAACAACAACAAAAAGATTCATATCTCTTCATAATTGTGATGAAAACCATCCATATGTTAATAGAGTAACCTGCTGCAGTATTTTTTAAGTCTGCAGAGAGCCTGAAAGAGTGACTCAGATGTATGACCTTCCCACCCCCCATTTAACTCATTGGGGGTTAACACCAAATTGATTACATTTAGATATCAGCATTCACTTTTTCATGTCTGAAGATCTTAGTGAATGGGCAAGAGGTGCGAACTGATGCTGCAGGGAAGGAAGTGAAGGGGGAAGAAAGGAGAGACAGACGTAGGAGGAAAAACTGAGAAGGATGAAGAATGAAAAGCAATGAGGGACATAAACAGCACTGCTCCTGTGGGTGGGTGTATTTTCCTACTGAGTGATGTGGTTGTGACTATAAGATACTAAACAAGTAACTAAGCTAAACTTTTATTTACAGTATTTAGTACATAAGGGCCATATTCTACCCTTGGTTTTGTAGAAACCCCACTCACTGGATGAATTGAGTATGTTTTCATAAATGTATGAACCATAATTAAAAATAAAACATGGCCCTCTGTGATTGAGTTTGACATCCCTGTGCACTTTGACTGTGCTTATGCAGTGTTCTGGAGTATTACCATGAAAATCAGCAGGAAGTAAGTGATGTGTTGAGCCTGGTGATCGTAGGTAACAAGATAGCTAAGGCAAGGCTGGTTACCGTAGAATCCATCATTGTGCCACGAATCTTGAGATTCCTAACCAGTAGGATGGTTCTCTTTATCCTCTGGTCTTGTAGCTGATGATGTATGTCCATGTGTCGTCATCATCAGGAGAATCCTGATGTTCAGAAAGCTGTCATTAGCCAGCATTTGAGCATAGATGCACCCTAGCTGTGTCATCCCCACTATTCCTCCATTTGTCCCAGAAGAGTTTTCCTGATGGCTCATCTCAAATTGGTCTTAACAGATTCTTTTTCCTTAAGCTGCTTTTCCAAGCCAGGTTCAGAGCCCTGTTTATCAGTGTCTAGTTAAGGCATAAGGTGGAGAGCATGCGCTGGAGAGAATCACTCCCTGGGCTGTTGTAAAAATTGATTGATCTCACCGGAGGCTGTCTATAAAAGATAAGGGGGAATGTCTGCAGGAACATTATGTGAGTCTCTTGATTCTGGTAATGAATGAGCCTACAGCAGCAGCCAGTGTCTCTGCTCTCTTTATAATAACAGAGCATTGTTGCACGGAACTTCCACACCATATATCCCCTCATCTGTCATGTGAGAAGCACAACACAGAAATCGATGTAGCCAAGGTAATTTAACAACTGAATCCTTCACAAAATCCACACTGTTCCTCAGCATGACAAATGTAATGATTTTCAGGAGTCATAAAGGGATACCTTGAAACCCTGTGTAGTATCAATGTCCTGTGTAGCCCCACTCATAGGCCTTTCCCCAAATCTTCAGCTGATGGATGCAAATCTGCCATTGCCACGTTAGCTATATTTACTTAAAGTGAAATCATCAGTGGAAGTGCCATGGAGAAACCCGACTACAGAAGTGGTGTGTGGCATTGGAGCAGGTGCCAGGGGGAAGCCTGAAGGTAGTGGGTTGGCGAATGCCAGTGAGTCTTCACTTATGCAGATCCAGTGACCATAAACTTGTGCATAGGGTTATTGCAGACTATGGTGGGTTCTAGCTGCAGGAGGAGGGATGTTGCTGAAGAAGAAGCGAGAGCTAACTCTTGGGGTGAGTGAGCTTGTCTGTCTGGTTTTTCTTCTGGTTTGCTTAAAGTTTACACTGTGGTCTTTTGGGAATTGTGTGGTTGTGGGGGCCAGAGGCCGCCTAGCAGCTAGCTGAGTGTGCATGAGCAAGGCTCTCACCTCCTGGCCTCTGAGCCTTGATCACCCTTTCTCTATGTGTTAATGAGGGGGCAGGGCTGACTAGGAGAGAGGGGCTTAAAAGCCAGCTGCTAAATAACCAAGGAGCAGCAAACAGGGAAGTTTGAGAGGGATTTTATAGGCGGGAGAGAGAAAAACATCATGGTTTGGAAAGGCTATATCACAGTGCCAACACTGTTCCTGGCTTCTCCACCTGCATCTGTGTCCAGCCAGAGAACCCAACCATGGATGCCTCTACCCATTTCCCCGTCATAGAAAGCCAGGCTGGGGAGACCATCCAGTGTGAGAGGTGCCTACTGATAGGCACCACAGGAGGTGTGCTGCCTGCCAGGGGCCTGTATCGGATACATTACAGAAGGATTGTCAAGGGTCATCCAGCCCTATGACTGTTACCCCATACTGTTAATCTATGTAGGCACTAATAATACTGCGAGGTAGGACACTGAGCAGATCAGAAGTGACTATAGGACTCTGGGAGTGAGGGTGAAGGAGATTGGGAGCAGGTGGAGGTCTCATCAATCCTTCTGGTCAAGGGTAGGGACGCAGGCAGAGACAGACACATCCTGGAGGTGAATGCCTGGCTGTGAGGATGGTGTTGCCAGGAGGGCTTCGGCTTCCTTGACCACGGGATGCTGTTCTGAGGGGGACTGCTGAGCAGAGATGGGGCCCACCTGTCAAGGAAAGCTTCAGATACAGACTGGTCACCTGGTGAGGCGCACTTTAAAGTAGGTTTGATGTTGGCATGAGACAAAAGCCCACAGGTAAGTCCAGAACATGGAGACCAGGGTGAAGGGCTGGAATTTGGGGGGAACATAGGCAATCGTAGCAGGGGACAAAGGAGAGACAAGAGGGGACATAGCGGAGAAATCTAATGAACATCTTAAATGTCTGTATTATTAATGCAAGAAGTATGGGGAATAAACAGAAAACTAGAAGTACTAGTGAATAATCACAATTGTGAATAAGTCTCAGATGCTAGTTATGTCATATGACTGGAATATTGGTATACAAGAGTACAACTTATTCAAGAAGGACAGGCAGGGAAAAAAGGGAGGAGGTGTTTTCTTGTATATCAGAGATGTATACACGTACTGAGGTCAAGATAGAAGTGGAAGGCAGACCTGTTGAAAGTCTCTGGGTAAAGATAATTGGTAAAAAAACAAGGATGATGTCATGGTAGGGTCTACTATAAATCACCTAAGCAGGAAGAAGACGTGGATGAGGCTTTTATAAATGACTAACAAAATCATTCAAAGCACAGGTCTTGATGGTGATGGGGGATTTCAACTACCCAGACACCTGTTGGGAAAATAATACAGCAGGACACCGATTATCCAATGAGTTCTTGGAATGCACTGGGGACAAGTTTTTATTACAGAAGATAGAGAAAGCAGATAGTGGAGGAGCTATTCTGGATTTGATTTTGACAGGGAGGAACTGGTTGAGAATTTGAAGGTTAAGGCAGTTTGGGTGACAGTGATCATGAAATGATAAAGTTCATGATTCTACAAAATGGCAGGAGGGAAAACAGCAGAATAAAGACAATGGACTTCAAGAAGGAAGACTTCAGCAAACTCAGAGAATTGGTAGGTAGGATCCTGTGGAAGGCAGGTGAGTTGGCAGTTTTTTAGAGACATTAAAGGCACAAGAGCAAACTATCCCAATGCGCAGGCAAGACAGGATGTATGGTAAACGTGGCTTAACCAGGAGATCTTCAGTGACCTGAAACTCAAAAAAATCCTACAAAAAGTGGACACTAGATCAAATTACGAATGATGAATATATATAAAAAAACAAAAAACCCCAAGAGCACATAGGGACAAAATTTGAGAGGCTATGGCACAAAATGAAATTAAACTAGCTAGGGATGTAAAGTATAACAATAAAACATTTTACAAATACATGAGGAAGGCCAAGAGTGAGCCCATTAATTAATGAGGAGGGAAAGACGATGACAGAAAATGCAGCAATGGCTGAAGTGTTAAATGCCTTTTTTGTTTGTTTTCACCAAAAAGGTTAGCAGTGGTTGGATGACTAACATAGTGAACATCCGTGTAAATAGGGTAGGATCTGAGGCTAAAGAACAACTTAAGAATTATTTAGACAAGTTAGATGTCTTCAAGTCAGCAGGGTCTGACAAAATACATCCTAGAATACTTAAGGAACTGGATAAAGAGATCTCTGAGGCATTAGCGATTATCTTTAAGAACTTGTGGAGGATAGGAGAGAACCCAGAGGCCTAGAAAAGAGCAAATATAGTACTTATCTATAAAAAGGGGAATAAGGACAACCCAGGGAATTCTAGACCAATCATCTTAACTTTGGTACCCAGAAAGATGATAGAGCAAATCATCAATTTTTAAGCACCTGGAAGATAATGAGGTGATGATCAACTATCAATATGGATTTGTCAAGAAGAAATCAAATATACTAAACCAACCTAATATCCTTCTATGATAGGGTAACAAGACTTGCAGATGCGGGGTGGGGGGAAGCAGTAAATATGATATATCTCAACTTTAGTAATGTTTTCGATGCTGTCTCGTGACCTTTTCATAAGCAAACTAGAGAAATGTAGCCTAGATGAACCTACTGTAAAGTGGGTGCATAACTGGTTGGAAAACTGAATTCAGAGAGTAGTTATCTATTGTTCACAGTCAAGCTGGAAGGGCATATTGAGTGGAGTCCCACAGGGATCTGTCCTGGGTCCAGTTCTATTCAATATCTTCATAAATGATTTAGATAATGGCAGAGAGAGTATGCTTATAAAGTTTGCAGACAATACCAAGCTGGGAGGGGTTGTGAGCGGTTTTGAGGACAGGACTAAAATTCAAAACTATCTTGACAAACTGGAGAAATGGTCTCAATGAAATAGGATGAAATTCAATAAGGACAAATATAAAGTACTACATTTAGGAAGGAATCATCAATTGCACACATACAAAACGAGAAATGACTGCCTAGAAATGAGTACTGCAGAAAAGGATTTGGGGATTATAGTGGATCATGAACTAAATATGAGTCAACAATGTAATACGGTTGCAAAAAAAGTGACCATCATTCTGAGATGTATTAGCATGAATATTGTAAGCAATTCACAAGAAGTAATTCTTCCACTCTACTTAGCATTGATAAGGTCTCATCTGGAGTACTGTGTCCAGTTCTGGGCACCAAACTTTGGGAAAGATATGGACACATTGAAGAAAGTCCAGAAGAGAGCAGTAAAACATAATTAAAGGTCTAGAAAACTTGACCTACAAGGAAAGATTGAAAAAATAGGGTTTGGTTAGTCTGGAGAAGAGAAGAGAAGATGGAGGAGGGGGGAGGAGAACATAACAGTCTTCAAGGTTGTTATAAAGAGAAGGGTGATAAATTGTTCTCCTTATCCAGTTAGGACAGTACAAGAAGTAATTGGAGCAAGGGAGATTTAGGTTAAACATTAGGAAAAACTTCCTAACTGTCAGGGTGGTTAAGCACTGGAACAAATTACCTAGGGAGGTTGTGAAATCTCTGTCATTGGAGGGTTATAAGCACAGGTTAGACTAAAACCTGTCAGGGATGGTCTAGATCAATGGTTAGCAACTTTTTCCCCCAACAACCCATTTGGCATCTTAACAAGTGTCCTGAGACCCTTTTCATTTCCAGTACTACTTGGAACGTCCCTTCCTGCATGAGAACGCCTCTGCCAGCATGACCCCTCTCACACGGTGCATGCAAGGTCATGCTGTGTGGAGGACTTCATTATGAGAATAAAATGGCATCCTCCATGCAGCAGAAGTGCCAAAATGCTGTTCCAGAGCGTTCTGGCCCTGGCTCAAGGGACAGACCCCCACATAACTCATGGCAGACCAGACCCCCAGAGGTCTGAGGAACCTCCTTTGGGAATCATTGGTCTAGTCCTGCCTCAGTGCAGGGAACTGGACTAGATAACTTACCAAGGTCCTTTCCAGTCCTACAGTTTGCTTGTTCTTTCTTATTAA